CTAAGTGAAGCAGAGCCAATACTCTCAAAAGATGGTAATTATTGACCTTACGAAAAATCAAGTGGAACAGATGGTGATCTGCTACCCCAGGAGGACTCCCATACAAAAGTGACGTGGGTGCTCGTCGTTTGCAGATTTTGGTCTCACTTCGGTTGTTCGGAACGGAAAGTAACTAAATAATGCTCATTGAGGTATCGCTTAGGGCTGTGCATAAAGAAATTTGCAAAAAAAAAAAAAAAAAAAAAGCCGTGACGCTGACCTCACAGAAATCTCCTTTAGGGGTCAGTTTAAGCTTGAGCCACACCCAAATTGGCCTCCCTTCGGGGTTTAAATTAATTTTCCGACGAGCAGCCCCTTCACTTTTATATAAGAGTCCTCCAGGGGATTGCCCACAAATATCGGCATATAAACTCGGACGATTTTGGCGGCCACCTCGTTCTTCGCATAGAGGACCAAGAAAGGAATATTAGGACCAAGGACAGGCATATAATTGGTTTGGAGATTGCGAAGATCGTATACCATCTATTTTAAAGGATGGGATTTTGTACGTATAAAATCGTAAAATCATTTCTAATATCGTTATCACTAGTTCCTTTATCTGGGATAAGATAACGACAAAAGGGCCAATGGGTATTGTCGTAATCGTAATTTCAAGTTCAGACAATGATAAACTCGATAGTCCCCTCATTTTTTTTTTATTTAGAAATATGCGGGAACTGAAGGTCCAAACATAATGAAGTTATGGAGAAAAGTAGGAAGTGGCTTTAACTCAAACATCCTGATATTAATCACTGTTGCACTACGGTATAAAGTTACACAGTCAGCTAATGCACTTGCACATTTTGATATCATTTATGAGCTGACGGATTTGAATATGAAGATACACGCGTAAAACAGAAAGTGATAAGCGCACCCTCCTGAGCGCATCCTTTGCATATCTAAACCTTGTGGAGTCGAGAGTAAATTATCAAAATCGTGATTACCTACCTTTAGGCATATTACTGAGAGCACTCATGACAATTGTTTGGTACCATGGAGAATTCATCGACAGAAGTTTCTACTGAAGCCCAACATGGACAAAAACCTCTGAATTCGAACAATCAGTGGAAGTGAGAACTGACGCGAACTCTGAATCCGGCATTGTCGAAGGTTTCCCCAGCATGAACATTTCTCAAGGTCGAGACCCCTACACTGTTTTTACGTCTTTTCTTGTCTCACGTCTTGTTAGCGGTTATTACCCTGTTCTTACAGACGCTTGCATTCCGGCTACCACGTTAATGATGTAAAAATACATACATCTGAACAACAGCTGAAGGATCTAGGATCACATTTTTAAACTCGAGAATCGGCCTTTGGACCCTCCGTGTGGATCCAAATTCATATATATTGATATCGATTTTACTAAAGTAGGTGCCACCGCCTTTATCATTTCGTTTTTGCGACTCCGGTGCGGCGCTCATTTGATACACCAGCCTACCGCGGACAGTGTTGTTGAGCCACTCACAGAGGATCTTATTGCTTTTATGTCTGCATACCGAGATGCTATGACAAAGAATATAAAGACTCAAATACTTCACAAATCTTGTGAAAAAAAAATACAAAAACAAAAACAAAAAACTAGCGAGAATCAGTTGCATGCAAGGAAACGAAGATGTGGTACACATTTCCCTAAAATAGTCAAATATAAATCCCTTAGTCGTTCAAAGCTTAACTTCAAGCTAACGGTTTTATTTAGTGGTGGTATAAACAGGTTACAACCGAATACTGTCAGGCTAGTCAGTCACTTCACTCACTGTCCATCACGGAATTGATAGCGTACAGCATTACCATAATAGCACTAGCACTGTACATAGACAATCAGATTTGTGATCGAAGGCCGGTAGATTTAAACATCTGAAAATTTACACTAATATCAAATTCCTAAAGGTATCCGGACACTAACTTAATTCAATGTACATTTCACAGCTGATTTCATTTTTTTAAGGGCAAATAACAGTTTACTTGATAAGAATTTATAAGTACGCAGTATACTAGATTTATTGAGGCGTAGACGTGATTAGCGGGTTGTTGATTTTACTTCTTTGAACTCCAGTACATATTTTCGTAATTTTTCTTCAAGGACTACCGTGTACCATCGTCCCACATATATAGTGTAAAGGAGAATCTGTGAAGGACCTTCTCGCTGCAAAATGTAAATACTTCCACCTGACACTCACGACAGGAGAAACATGGTTCTCGTTAATGTTATCTGTAAAACAAAATGTTCGTTTAGAACGCGATTGAAGTATGTCGAATAGCCTCTTCCAGGCGTTCAGACTGTGGGGGCGACCCTCCGAGAGATGCGAGTAAGAAAAGGGTGAGGGGTGGGGTAGGGATTAATGCGTATTTTTCCCGACCCACACTCTACTACCAAGAAGTCCAACTACTGGGAGTCGAACAAAGGACGGCCGGCCGAGACTATTAATACGAAGGTCAGTGGAAAAGTAAACTTAATCTTCTATACGCTTAACCTATTTCCGATTTTTCTTGTAGATAAAGTAAAAAAAATAAAAATAAAATAAATAAATAAATAAATAAAATAAAGAAAAATTGTCATTTCAGCATCAATATGCAAATTTAAGGCGAATCCTTCAATTCTGAATCGCGTTGTGCCACAAGTTTTATTTCATAACTTGACAAAATAGCTCTTAATCTTTAACTAAAACAGGGGCGGATCTAGGGGGAGGGTGCAGGGGGTGCACACCCTCCCTGAAATGACCTGCGGCTTTCTAATTATCACTGTGCAGTCTTCTTTACAGTTATACAAAATCTGCTTTATCATTTGATATGTATTCTCAGCAGTTCACATTATGTTATCGCCTAGTCGAAAGCCTTCTTCTTATTATTCGCTATTAAAATTTGTTTACGTCACCAGTCAATTACGCCATTCCTTAGTAGTGCACTCCCTCCTACGAAAAATCCTGAATCCGCCTCTGTAAAACATGTTTTTAAGTCTAGTTTAGGTGCCACTTTTGAGAATTTTGTGATGTTTTTGAGGCATTTATTCGTGCATTTTGCTTTCTTTGGGTTAGTGAAATAAAGACGATCAGTTTTTGCTGATTACAGAAAGATAATGCCTAGATGGTATTGGAACAGTAAGAAGAAGTAGTATGCTTCCAAATGAGTGCGAACAGTCCAGGATTTGATGACCCGAAGAACTTTTAAACGATCGTTAAAAACCTGCACTGACAGCATCTAAAATTTGCATATTTTAGCTGCTAACGGTCGTCCAGCAATGCATGCTGGGAACGGCAGTAAAATAAACAATTTCCTCATTCTAACTGCAATTTCGTTATTAGGATGGATACTAGAGTTGATGATAAAAATATAAGGCGAAAGTTTTTTCGAGTCGGAAATCGACTGCAACGCTTTTAGGGAGACTGCCTCTTAATTATCAAAACTGCGATGGTCGGGTGTTTTAAACTTTAATTGTATGAAAGCGGCTCTTGTGATGACATGCGATTTATTTTCGGCGATGATTGAAATGACATGCATGTAAATAACTTTTTAGATCTCTGGCAATGATGTAATTTGTCTGGAATCGAGGCCCTTCGAATTGTCGTATATTTATCGGTCAGTATAAAAGATAGACTGTGGACTGCGGACTGCGGACTGCGGACTACGGACTACGGACTGAGTATAAAATATGGACTAGTTATAAAACACGGACTAGAAAATACGGACTGGGTATAAAACACGGACAAGGTATAAAACGTGGACTGCAGACTGCGGACTGGGTATAAAATAGGACTACGGACTACTTTGGTAAAAACCGTGCAAATTGGTTCTAGGTAAGGAAAAATAAGATCAAAAGATCGCTAAATAGCGAGACACGTGAGTTAAAGTTGTAAATATTCCTATAAATTCTTGGTGGAGGTGTCCCGCCCGGTTCTCTGAATCATGAGCCGGATCAAAATGCTATTTTCTTCACCCATTTTTAGACCTTGTCTTGGTCTCTAACAACCTTGAAAGGGGTCAGGATCAGGGTGGTACTCCCTTATATAATGGAAGGGTAGGGGGTTTGGGCCTTTTTGGTCTGAAAACACTTTGCCCATTTTGGTGTGGAATCGGGTATGGTTTTCGAGGGAACTATGGGAGCGTATATGAATGAACGTATTTATCGTTTCAATTCCAAATGAATAAGAACGAAATAGAAATGTGCGAATTCGAAATGTATTTGGAGAATTTTTTTGTTTCCGCTATAACTTGGTAATGATGACAAAATTTCTGCCTAATTAGACCTGTTCAAGGCTCTGAGATAGTTGGGTCCGCTGAATTGAGAAAGCGAAAACACGAAAATAAAACGGGATGACTCATTTCGGTTCTATTCGCGTATGTGAGTAATCCCTCGCACCTAAATACTGCTTTTGTGCATCGCATTGACCTTCTCGTCTGAGTTCTTCATTCAGTTTTCATATTCCCAAGGCTTTATTTGAAACGGAATTGTGGCATCCGATAAGAATTTTACTGATCTGACTAATACCAATACTATTTTTTTTAATTCGGTGCTTCTTATTGGTGTAAAACTGCAAATTGAAATCTCTTCAAACTCCTTCTTTTTATAAAATTCCGAGTTTAATTTCAGTTGCCTTGAGTACCGGCATAACCTTCCTTCTCCGTGGGAAGAATAGACTACCTGAACAGCCAAGGGAATGTTAAAGCTGGGACTACTGTTTTGGCTAGTCCGCTTTCTTTTTCTCTCAGTTTTACCTTCTAACGCTGTTTTTATATACATAGTCCGTAGTCCGCGTTTTATACCTAGACCGTGTTTTATACTCAGTCCGAAGTCCACATTTTATACCTAGTCCGTATTTTATACCCGGTCCGCAGTCCGTGGTCCGCAGTCCGCAGTCCATATTTTATACTGACCGTATATTTATATTTTTTCGCCTCCTCATTTCTTGATCTTATCTATCTCAGCCGTAATCGCGTTCTTGTTATACTTCAAACATCATTGAAGAATGGCGCTTCCATCTATAAGATTGTGTGGGCGTATGTTATTTCTTTTTCTGTTGAGTTTACAGAATGTGATCCCTTTTTTGCTGTTCGTTTTCATGTTCATCAACAAGGAACATGCTACAATTTTGGCGAGTCTCGCAATTAGTTCGATCGTACTTTGTCCGGCTTTTGAGGTCTTGTTTGGGTATAGGCCCGGAAGGAGACGTCTTTCTTACTTCTTTCGCGGATGGCAGTTTTACATTCACATCGTTTTAGTGCCAAGCATAATCTTTGCATTTGGAGTTCAGGCAAGTTTGGAAGGAAAGGTACTGTTTTGCCAGTCGGCCGATAAACTAAAAGTCTGCACCCTTTGCACAACACCTTTTCTACTGCTGCTGTTGTTGACAACCGCAGACGATTCGTTCAGCTCCAACAGTCACAAAGAACTTGTTCGAAATTTATCTGTTCTTATGGTTTCTGATCTTTTTGATGCTATCGAAATGTTGAACCACGCGTTTGAGTGCTCTTTGGGAGCCTTTGATGTTTCTACAATATTTCTGGTGATTGGGGCGATCATTACACTCATCGTCTCGTCATTGCAAATGGCTGAATACGAATTCATTGAAGGTGTTGAAGGGGAATCTAACGAACAAATACGCTATAAACCAAAAGTCTTTCGCAAAATTGTTGAATTAGCTACAAACTTGGTAGCCCTAACCATTCGCCTGGAGGTTCTTATTGGACATGGAAAAAGCAGGGCCACCGTCGGCACCATCGTCATCTTTAAGAATTTCACTGCCATAATTTTGGCTGTGATGCACATCAGCTCTCTAACACCACCGACACAAACCTTGAAAGACCAAGGGTGAAAACCTTTTACGGCGCACCAAATTGCCAACGAGACATACACTGTGGTATTCAAATACTGTACGGATAAGTTTTAAGTTGTGACGAAGTTTTTTGTAGGTATCTATTGAAAGAAAAACGTTTTACGTTATTACAACTCATCCGAACCTGACAGTGAAAGATATTTTAAACGTCAATCGTACAATACACTTCATTATCGTAGTCAACTAAGAGACGAGGTGGTTGTAACTACCTCTTTTCTATTACAATATTCATCTTGAAAAGATTATCAAAGAATATTGTTCAGTAGGCCTAGGTATAATCTGATAAGCAAGAAAGCGTAGTTATTTTGGGAAATTACACCAGCTGCTGTGATGTAATTCTAAATGGTTTCTATTTTGGGAATGAGAGAGGACTCGGCTTGTGATTACGCGAACATTCAGATGGGATACTTGCATGTAATCCAAAAGATTTTTTAAAGGTGGAAATGTCAAATATATAATTTAATTTTGCTGCCTTTAAAACGAATTTTGAAACTGTATATAGAATTCTCAATAGTGATTGAAGCTAGCATTATAAGGATTGTTCATGCTCAGGAGCCCATGACCGTGGGTTATGGGCTCCCGTCATTCCTTAGTAGCTCCGCAGTGTGGGCTTCTTTAGTGTAAATTTTGTCGGTTATAAATTGAATAAAAGACTTTTACAGTTTATATTGGGAGTCCTTGTTCAGCCATTTATTGGAGAACCATTTTCCCCTGGACTAGGTTATGGCTTAAGAGTTTGTCACCTCCACGAAGGGGGAAGAAAAATTGATATAGGGTGTGAGTTTTTTTATCCCTTTTAATCAAGGCAGTGTTGGGGGAGGGGGAACAAGAAGTTTTAAACTTTTTGTCCCATTCACCAACCTCGCTGTAAAGGTGATAATTACTATCTCTAACACCCGTCTCTAACAGTCGTAAGAAAAATCTTTTTCTGGTGGTTCGTAGTTCAACGTGATTTGATCATTTGCATTCTTATTTATTTATTTATACCTGGTTTTTTGAAAACCGGGCTACTAAAAAATGTCAGTCTCTCACACTGATTGTTAATTTGATGGCCCTTGTAACTTGAAAAGTAAAATCTCACCTCAAAAAGAAATTATTGAATACATGAGCTTCCATTTGATAGAATCATCTGTCTTGAAAGTAACAAAAGTGAAGTTTTCCTCATTAATCTGGAAAATAAGGCATTTTAAGAAGCAATTTTTAGTG